TTATAAAATTATTTTTTATAAATACGGAGAATGCACATCCTTTTGTACTTTTTGGATTGCAAATGACGTCTCCAATTGCGTGTATATATTTTCTCATGATTATAAGAGAAATTTTGTGTAAATTGTCTCAATATAGCTCGAATTCGACTCTTGTTTGACTCTCTATTTTCATATTCCTTATGGCCTTGTTTGGTGGGCTGAATTGGACTGGTTAGAATTGAGCTTGAAGTATTGGACTGAACTAGGTTAGACTTCAAGTCCTATTGAGTTGTTTGATAGAACACTAGACTGGACCGGACTTAAGTCCAATCTATTGTTTGGTACAAGGGCACACTGGACAACATTGGACTTCAATTTTTTTTTAATTTAAAAATTAATTTACTGTTTATTAGATTATTTAATATCATAAAAAATTAATTAAAAATGTATCAAATTATATAACCAATATTTATATAAAAATTATTATAGAACCAATACATTCAAAGAGATTGGGACTTCAATAATATATATATGTACATATATATATATATGTATATACAGAGAGCTTTCATTGAGGGATATCTCAAATAAGCTTATTTGAGGGACACCCCTTGTAGGGCCCACTCTGGATTGTATTTCATTAATCCAAACTGTCTATTTTGTAGATACTCATTCAAATATCATCTTTACAAAAAATCACTTGAATCCGATATCATTTGACCATTCAATTGAGTCATTGAAATTTTGTACTTTCTTGAAGCACCGTGTTCATTGATTTTGTAGGACACAACTGGATATCGAAACGGTTCCCGATTTGTCTAATTTTTTGTAAGGATGATATATGAATGAAGACCTAAAAAATAGATGGTTTTGGATCATTGGAAAAAAAATTGTAGGGTACCCTAAGGGCGTCCCTCAAATAAAATTATTTGAGGGATCCCTCAATAGAAGGGGACTGTATGTATATATATATATATATATATACATATATATAAAGCAAAAGGCAGAGAATGGTGAAACATTCAAAATACAAGAAAACACCCTTGGTTAATACAAACATTAAGAATTGAAATTATTAATTAAATGAGGATAATATGGTAAATTTACATTTTTTCATATTAAAAAAATAAATTTAAAAACAAAATCAGATAATAGGTCATACTTTTATGGAACATAACTACCCATGTTATTTTTTCTTAATTCTAAAAATAAAATAAAAAATAAAAAGAAACCAATAGGCACATGCGTGAGCATGTGCCAAGGGGCTAGTATATATAAAGCAAGAGTAATGCTACACTTACCACATTATTATCCCACATTTCTATACCACATGATGTGGCATGTCTATATCATATGCCACATCAATTAAATGAATGAAGTGTATTTTAATAAATAAAATTAGAAAAACAGAAACTAGTATTTTACATGATGTGGTATGCACACATTAGATGCCATATCGTGTGGTATAAAATTGTGGTATAAAAAATATGGTAAGACTAGTATTATTCATAAAGCAAAAAGTAGAGAATGGTGAAATATTCAAAATACCAGAAAATAACATTGGTTAATTCAAGCATTAAGAATTGAAATTATTAATTAAATGGGGATAATATGGTAAATTCATTTTTTTCATATTAAAAAAAAAATCAGATAATAATTCCTACTTTCATAGAACATAACTTCCCATGTTATCTTTTCTTAATTCTAAAAATAAAATATAAAATAAAACCAATCGGCACATGCGTGAGTATGTGCCAAGGGGCTAGTATATATAAAGAAGAGATTTAGATTGTCTCAAAAAAACAAAAACAAAAAGATTGGAACCTACATTGAACAAGCAACAAAATCCAACAAAATTAACCCAACATATCTAACTTACTCAGAACAATTGAGATCAATTCGATCAACCTATTAACCACTATTAACAACAACAGTAAAAAAATAAAAAATTGAAGCCAAAAGGAGATAGAGAGGTGAAGAAAATCTAGGATTCTTCCCAGAACTAGAAACAAACATAAGCAGAAAAAAGAAAAAAATACAATGAATATCCTTTCATGAAGAAAAGGGCAATTCCGAGTTTAGGTGGAAAACCCAGAAAATGAAAAAGAAAGAAAAAATTATTGTCCAAGATCTCCTTTCCCCTTCTCCTCAAACCCACCCTTTTCCTTCCATTGTTTTTGTTCCTATTTCCAAGATAAGAGTGAGAGAGATTGAAGTGAGAAGATTGCTTGAAATATGAGGGAGCATAGAGAAGAAGATGAATAGAAGAACCAAAGAAGAAATGGGGCTCTACGTAGAAAAAAAGAGAGAGAAGAAAATCACAAAGACAGAGAAAGAGAGGAAGAGAGAAGAGGAGAAGAGATAAGATAGAAGAGAGAAGAGAAAGGAGAAAAGGGAAGAGAGAGAAGAGAAGAAACAAATGAGAAGAGGCGTGCTCACCGAGAGAAAAGAGAAGTGGCGTGTCTCTAAAAAAGACTCGGATTCTAAACCCACATCTGGGCTTGGACATGGATCCCATGTCCATATCCAATCCAAGATACATTTAAGCTCACCAAACAATGGGTAGGACCCATGTCCATTTTAATTGAAAATATCCAGTCTAGTCCAACCCACCAAACAAGCCTTATGCTCAATAGTAGGTCCATAAGGCTTAAAAGATATGTTGAATATGGCACTTCCTCCATGCAATCAATGGGGGCACGAACATCATCAATTAATTTGAGTGCTGCTAAATAAATCCTAAAATTAACTGAGTACACCCTATTACCAAACTATATATTAAATTACTAATTTACCCTAATATAAAATGATCAAAAAGAATATATTGAATTGTGAAATAAATATAATTTTAATAAGTACACCTTACTCATCATATTCAACCTTAACCAAACATAGAGAAGTTTTCATATTACTTGGTGCCCACGAACAACGCTGCGAGCACTAACGAAGGCGCAAGGAGGTGTCTTTGAATGGTGTACAGTAGATAGGAAGGAATAGATAGCAATGATTCTAATCTAGCTAACTTACTTGCAACAGTATCAATCTTCGATGAGTGGCTAGAAGAATTTTCCCTTTGTAGAGTAAAAGCGATCTTCATAAACATATGATAAGGCAAACTTCCCATGTACTTTAAATAGATCAACCTGGAGGAAAAATGAACCTGATTCTGTCAGCTACAATATAGCCTTCATGACAAAAAAAGAAAAAAGAAAAAAAAAGAATTAATTTTAGTCACTAAATACAAGTAGATTATAACCAAACAAGACATCAAGCTGGATATCAACCAACAAATAATCATACAAGTAGGTTTACTTAATTTAAGGTTGAAGAAGATGAGAAAGTATGGAATATTAAATAAATTGCAGACATTGAGATTTCCATCGGCTTATCTAATAACATCACCAAAGTCTTCTATGCCCTTGCTTTCGTGCCAAAGTAAAAATTTAAATAAATAGTAAACATTGAGATTCATGCGTGTAGAAATTGCAACAAGTAAGAGCTGGACAAGTATAACACTCATAAAAAGAGAAACCTGGTTCAAGATTGGTATTAGGGTGTACCAAGGGTATTTTTGGTAGTTAAATAGGGTGTACTTAGTTAATTTTACATTTTGATTAAAATATTAGGATGTACTTAGATCGTAGAGTGTACTCAGTTAATTTTAAGGTTCGTTTAGCAACACTCATTAATTTTCAATTTCGCCATGAAAATTTCACCTTTTTCAAAATGTAAAGACCACCTTCAAAATAACCTTATTTAGGAGAGGAGACGAAGAAAATCCTGACCTTTAGCCCAAGCCAAACCATCATATAGCCAAGACACTAACAATAGGATGCCTAATTCAATCCTTGAAATAACAAGGCCAAACCATTGAAAGAGTAGACATCATCAACATTGGGCATTGACCATAAAAGTTTGTAACGCTAGTATGACTATAAAAGAAAAAAGAAGGGAGGTGCCATGAAATACCTTCTCATAACACTCAAAGAACTTTTTTATATATATTTAGATTATACGTTCCTTTGAAGTTTCCAAAAGCTCCATAGTTTTTTTTTCTTTAAAATTTTAATAATTCTATCCAATAAATACGGACAATGTTTATGACAAGCCCAATCAATCTTCGGAAAGAGATTTTCCAATTCTTGTGGTGATAATAAGATATTTTTTTTTAAATAAAAAAACTTAAATTTGTGTTAAAAAAAAACTATACAAAAAGAAGAAGGAGAATTCGGTTCAATGAAAAAAAATGCAATAATTAGTTGGAAGAAAAATCCAAGACCCTATTTTCAATATTTCAGAAAGAACAACCAAGCATCTTACTCTTTAGTGCACCAAACAATTAAACTAAAGTATCTTTGTGACTTTTCCAACTATAGCCTAATAAAAAATGGTATTAACTTGTAGACTAATGATCGTAAGTTCGAATCATTATAACACCTTGATATTGGGTGGGAAAACCCGTTCTCCGTCCTAACTTTGACAAAAATAAAAAAAATCACAGAAATTCAGTATACACATTACAGAAAATATGCCACGTGTTCTATGTCCCACATCCTACATTGCCTAACCAATTATCGGTTCCCACTTGTCAAGTAACTCACTCACACTAACAATCCCTGTCCAAGTATAAACACCCAAAGCACCTCCTATTCTTTCGCATATATATATGCACATATACCCCCTCAGGTATAACTCGTAAGGTCCCAAATCTATCTCCCACCTTTCTTTAATTAGGGTTGCGTTTTGGTCTTCGTCTCTCACTGTGTATTTAGGGTTTTGTTCGACTCGCAGTTGCGTATTTTAGGGCTTTTTCTACAATTCTCTCTCTATAAACAGTACACATCGAAATTTTTGATCTTTTGGTTTAGATCCTATTTAGGGTTTCGATTCTCTCTTTCCCGCGAATCGTGATCGTGAAACTAGGATTTTTTATTCGTTCCCTGTTCAATTTGGGAAAAAGGAGGTTGATTTTGGGTTTTGATTGGGGAATTTGAGTTTTGGACAATTTGACTGCGAAAACAATGCCTCCGAGGATGGTGAAGAGAGGTGCGGCAGCGGCCGGAACGAAGAGGACGACGAGAGTCACCAGGGGGACGCCCAAGGCTCAGAGCCAGGCACAGGCTGAGGCTCCCGATGATGTGCCGGTGGTGGAAGCTAAAGAGGATCTTAAGGTTGAAGAGGTTAAGGAGAGGCCAATTGTGGCGGAAAGTCCGGTTGTTGAGGAGAAACCAACAGTTATCGATCAGCCAGGGCTTTCAGAGATTGAAGATGATGCAAAATCAGAGCTGAATGGATTAAAAAGTAAGTTCCTTCTCTTGATTTGTCATTCTTGTATGTTTTGCATGGTTTTATGTATGTTGTCAGGATCTTGTTGTCTTAATATTTTTGTTTGTAACGTGGTTGTTAATTGAGAATTTTATCTCAGGAGTGTTGTGTTAATGGGTGGGGAGTGACCAAATTTTTCTTTATTAATTTTTATGAAGTTATAATTTTATCGTGTGGGATGGTTACCAGAGCTTGGAATAACAGTGAAGCTAACTAAGGACAATACCGTAGAAAGATTCCAATGGATAAAATTTGAAATATTTATTTTACATATCATAAATGGTTAGCTGGAAATTCGCTGTTTTTATGAACCTAGTAATTCTTTCCTCTCCATATATATGTGGTGGCTTTTAATAGAAGTGGCCACCTTGTTCTTTCAAGAGCAATTGGTTTTTGAATGGTGCTTAGAATGACGGTGTGAGCATCGTATAAGTGGACTATTGACTTTGTTCCAGTTCACATATGTCTTAATAAATTGGTTTTCTTATGGATCTAGAATGACAGTGTAAGTATTGTGAACACGGATAAATTCTCTCTTTGGATTTAGCTCAGTTGTGGTTTAAGCAGCTGCTTTTCATGAGGTGGGCAGAATGGAAGTTTAAGCATTCTAAATTTGGATCATCTTATTTTGACATTGTTTTTGGATCAATGGTTGGTTAAGACATTGATTTCTTATGGAAGCATGACACTTCAGACGTTATAAATGTAGATCGTGATTTATTTTTTTGGGCTCAGTTATGTGTTAATATATGGTCATGGTATTATTCAATGTGTTTATTTGAGAAGGACAAGAATGTCTTTTGTAAAATTGCATGCGAAATCTACTTTATCATACTGTAGAACATGAGTCTCTTTTAACTAAAGGGATCATCAACCTTAATTTTATGGCAGAACAAGATAAGGTTAAGGAGTCTATGGATGATTATGAAAAAGATGAACGATTAGAGCTGGAGGATAACGAAGCTGAGTATGAACCTGAAGAAGATGGTGGAATTGATTATGATGAGAAGGAAATGGAACAAGAGGATGTCCAGGAGGTCGAAGATGAAGGAGATGAAGAACCTCTGGAAAATTTAGGTGAAGAAGAAGGTGATATGGCTGAGGAGGAATTGGAAGATCCCAATGAAGAACTTGAGGGTGAAGAGTATGAGGAGCATGCTGGTGAGGAGCATGAGCATGAGCATGAGCATGAGCATGCAGAGACGGTTGATGAAGAATCGGAGCACCATGAAGTTGTAAAGGAGAGACGAAAGCGTAAGGAGTTTGAAGTATTTGTTGGTGGTCTAGACAAGGATGCAAGTGAGACTGATCTTAAGAAAGCTTTCGCCGTAGTTGGTGAAGTTACTGAGGTCAGGCTGATGATGAACCCTCAGACAAAGAAGAACAAGGGATTTGCATTCTTGCGTTTTGCAACTGTGGAACAAGCAAAACGAGCTGTTACAGAGCTTAAACATCCAGTGGTAATTTTTGATCCCTTGATAGTTTGAATGGAAACTGGTTTCTTCACATATTAAATTCTATTCTTTAAATGATTGCAATTCCAGATTAATGGAAAACAGTGTGGTGTTACTCCAAGTCAAGACAGTGATACCCTTTTTCTGGGGAACATAAGCAAGACATGGACAAAGGATGCTGTAAGTATATTTGGCTTACCTCGTTTTAGAATTCAGTGGCCTTATCAGGAGTTGCTTAAAAGTTTCTGACTTATTGTGATGGCTATGGCTTCAGTTGAGAGAGAAGTTGAAACATTATGGAGTAGATAATGTTGAGGATCTCACATTGGTCGAAGACACTAACAACGTGGGAATGAATCGTGGCTTTGCTTTTTTGGAATTTTCATCTCGTTCAGATGCCATGGATGCTTTTAAGCGACTTCAAAAAAGAGATATAGTGTTTGGAGTTGATAGGCCTGCAAAAGTTTCTTTTGCAGATTCCTTCATTGACCCTGGTGACGAAATCATGGCACAGGTAATGTCAATTTTCGGCATTATTATAGACATTAGGAATCCTGGATGGATCGTCTTTCTCTTGCTCTTTTCTAGTGATATGGTGTATGTGACGTACGTAAAGGCCCTCGTAACATCTCTTTCCATTAATATTAGGAGTTGTGGATGGATTGTCTTGATTATTTTCTTTTAATGTTATGGTAGAAGTAATTTTTCTAATTTTGTTTGTCAAATTACCATAACATCTACAAAATGTTGGATTAGATTCTTCAGAGTTGCTTTTTCAGGTAATGTTTCTTAGTTTTTTATTTTTGTTTTCTATCAATCTTGTTAAGTTTTTCTCCTCTGTTGGCCATAATAAGAACACCATGTATAGTGTAGTGGGTTTGAGGGCCTTTCCTCTATGTAGTGTTATTATGTCATTTAGAGGAGTTTCCTAGGTGATGTTGGAACTGCTGATCACATATATTGAGATGCAGGTTAAAACTGTCTTTGTGGATGGCTTACCTGCTTCATGGGATGAGGATCATGTCCAAGAACTTCTAAAGAAATATGGGGAGGTTGAAAAGATTGAGCTTGCGCGGAACATGCCCTCAGCTAAGAGGAAAGATTTTGGTTTCGTTACATTCGACACTCATGATGCTGCAGTGACATGTGCTAAAAGCATTAACAATGCTGAGTTAGGCGAAGGAGACAACAAGGTGTGTTGGCTGATAACAGCAAATTTCTATTTTAGACATTGTCAATGAAGTAGATGTGTATGGGCCTTAGTTGGATATTAACTTTATAAATAATTGTCATACTTTAGGCCAAAGTCAGGGCGAGATTATCAAGACCGCTTCAGAGAGGTAAAGGAAAACATGTTGGGCGCGGAGATTATCGGCCTTCAAGGGCTGTTGGACGAGTTGTTAGGGGTTCGTGGGGTCGCCCAACACCTCGTTCTCTCCCTCCCCTGCGTGGATTAAGGGGAGTTGGAAGTCGAATCCCACCAGCCAGCGTGAAGAGGCCTGTTGGGTTAAGAGAAAGACGCCCTGCAATGTCACCTTATCCAGCAAGAGGCAGGCCTTTGCCTCCTCCAGCTAGGTCCTATGATAGGAGGCCACCTGGTATGCAATATTTTGGGTTTATACTATCTAATTGGTTTTGTGTTGCAATTTTTATCATTTGGAATAATTATATTGGTCTGCTTTTTTCAACAGTCCCAGCATACCCAAAGAGCAGCTTCAAGAGGGAATATGGTAGGCGCGATGAGGTTCCTCCTCCAAGGAGCAGAGTAGCCACTGATTATGGCTCAAGGGCTGTTCCAGAGAGACGCCAATCATATAGAGATGACTATACCCCACGTGGTCCTGGCTACTCTGATCCACCAAGAAGTACCTCTCGTACAGGAGGGAGGAGAGCTTATGTTGATGAGGGTTATGGACAAAGGTACGAAAGGCATCCTCCCCCTTCTCATCCTCCTCCAAGTTACCGTGAAGGTCGTGCTCGTGATTATGATTCTATTTCTGGTTCAAAGCGTCCATACTCTGCACTGGTTAGTGTCACTGGCGACCTTGTCTGTAGATGAAAATGCAATTTCTTTGGTCTTCTCAGGCCCAATATGAAATATGGGCTAAATGTTTTCCTTGCAACATGTTTTGTATTGTAGGATGACGTTCCTCCTCGTTATGCTGATGCGGGTATTCGCCAATCAAGGGCACGGTTGGACTACGAGTATGCAAGTGGTTCTCAGTATGGAGATGCCTATAGTGATAGGTTTGTCCCGTGAATTGGAACATTAACTTTTATTCTCACATGTGTGGATGCCGTAACTTACCTTTAACGTATCTTTGTTGTGTTTGATAGAGTGGGGAGATCTAGTTTAGGATATGGAAGCAGCAGAACAAGTCAGGATTCACATGGACTTTATAGCAGTCGTCAGGGCATGGGCTATGGAGGAGGTGTGTTTGGAATTGATGGTTATCTGAGATATAGTTACTGTTGAAATCATAGACTTAAAGGCCTGAGTTTTTTCATTTCTTGGGCTTCAGGTTCTTATGGCGGTAATGATGTTGGTGGAATGTACTCATCAAGCTATGGTGGTGATTATATGTCTCGTGGCAGTGATGTATGTGCCTGATCTTGTTCGGTGTAATGACAGGGATAGCTCTTTGTTTAGTGGTCTCATGTATCATTGTTTCTTGATTATCTATTGTAGGTTGGAGGTAGCTCTTACTCATCAATGTACTCTGGCCGTGGTGTGGGTGGAAGCAGTTACATGGGTTCAGGTGGTTCTGGCTCGTACTACTGAGGTAATTTAATTTGTTCTGTTATTCATGTTTTATTAAGTCAGTGATGCATGCTTAAGTATGAGCCCAAGGTGCCCAAGGCATTATTATTTTTTCCTCTGGAGATTTATGTTTTTCGAAGGCACGGCTTCTCTTCTTTTGCTCTAAAAGGTCACGGGTGAAAACAGAGCAATATGGTTACAAGTGAATTTGTCTATGGAACAGATCTGACATGAGCAAGAGGATGCTGTAGGATGTGGACTGTATGAAGCTTTTGCATTATGATGCCTACAGTTATGGACACAGAGAATTTCCCTAAGAGCCTATGTATGTGCTGAGAATCTTTCATTGTATACAATAGGGTTGTTGTGGTTCAAGCCCTCTTGGATATCCAAAGATTGGATGCTATGTCAGGCTGTAGTTATTTCGATGCCAGGAAACTCAGGCTGTTCAGAGATGAAACATACAAGTGCTTAGTTTATGATATTTCGTCTAATTTGTCTCCTATAAGAACTTCACCTGATGGAAAGCTTGGAGTCATGCTGCATCCTTTGTTCTTATGAATAGTAGATTATAACAAGAGAATGAGGGATTTTCTTAATGTGACTCTTAAGGTACTTTGGATATTTTTTGTGCTGAATCCTTTGGAAAGGTTTTGGGTTTCAATAATAAAAGCGAAATATGGTCATTTCACACCAGTTAATCATTTCAGTTCCATAACAATGAATAAAACCCTCAGTGGGTTAACTAGGAACTGAAGGCTATAAGGAACTGTGTAGCTTGCTTGGAATTGTACGAGATTGGGTCTGAGAAGGTTGACCTGGAATCTCTTGCCTGTGTGTGAGTTTTAGTATTGGAGTGAGTTAAATTTGCATTTTGACATATTTATTGGTTGTTAAGGTCTGGGAATCATATGCTTGGTTACAGTTAGGTACTGTATCTGAACTTAATGGGAAATTACAAACAAGGATGAGTAGAAGAAAGGTTCAAATGGCATACTATAATTACTAGATTTTATTTCATTTCTTAAGGAGAGTAGACCTACCAGTAGAATAAAATTATCTGTTTATCTTAGTGAAAGTGCTTTTAGTTGCTTGCAAACCTTGACCAAGAACTTTTGAGAGTCGGTGATTAATCGAACTGAGTACACAATATGGACAAGTGGAAGGGCTGACAAACATAAATTGTTTCCATTGCTATGCTTCCTACGAACAGAAACAGCACTGTTGAAACTTCATAATCTGGATCGCAAATAGTTGATTTTGTGCTACTGATGCCAAAAAAGGGTCTGCAATTGGTAAATAGCCCACTTTGTACACACATCTTAATGTGGAATATCCCATACTAAATGTGGGAGGATCATTTTTGGACTTTGCATACGCTACAGGTCCACACAGGAGTCTAAATTTGGTTAGATCTCCTTTATTAGCAATCCTTGCAGATTAAAAGCTTCTGAAGCTTGGAGGTAACTACTAATACCTGCCTCATGCTTGGCCTTGTAACTTATTGATTGTTCATTAGGGTTGCTTATCAAGGTCATAACAGCTAGTTCTTTTCAGTCTTGATAAACTTATTCTCATTTCTCAAGTAGCTAGGGAATTCTTTATGGTTCAAAGTTGTATCGCTGCACGGGTTTTGTTTTGGTAGGTTTTCTATGTACCAATCCTGTCGGGATTTGGATGCCAACCGAATGCTGGGTTGGATTTTAATAGGTGCATATAATTTTTTGTCAAGTTTTCAGGCAAGAAATAACTATAAGAGTGTTATGTTTTCTTTAGGGAAATACAAATTGCCTGTATGTTCGAATTTTTGTTATTGGGTTTCTAGGTTTACAGATGTACACAAAGCAAAGTCCTTTGTACTTGGTAAATTATTTGCAGGAAACAACTTAATAAAAGCTTTGATTTGCATGGATTCTCTCTCTCTCTCTCTCTCTCTCTCTCTCTCTCTCTCTTCCTTCTTTGTGCCAAAGGTGTGTTTGTTTGTACAGGTGAAATAGGATTTTAACTGACAGAAATTGAAAAAACCCCTTCAAGATACTTTTTATTAATCAGAATCCGATTAATGCACATGTTTCTTCATGTTGTTACAAAGCAATCAATCGAGTCTGGACGTGACACTAGTGCAATCTCCATTCATCATCTTCTGCAAAAGTCTCAAGTCTGAATTGTGTTGTGATAAAACAATTGCCATGCATTAATAATTAATTCGGCCACTGCATTCTACATGAATGAATAATATCAACAGAATTTGAGACCTCCTACCATACAGTTCAGAGTTGACTTATTGGGTAATTTATATGAAGTTTATGGCTGATGATTGTCCGTATGGTCAACTATTCTTTCCAACTTTCTTGCTTTTCCTTTTCGATTTTTCTTCAATCCTCTTATGTACCAAGTGCATAGGCAAATGTCACCATTGGATTGGTTTTCAATTAATCCAACGGCTGCAATTTGTTACCACCTTTGGCATCTTCAATTGTGAAATGTGGTACATAGGACTCTAGAAAAACAATGATGCTTCGACCAAAATCAGAACCCTAATTTGATGACACAACGATTAATGGCTTTAATATCACAATGTCAACAACTAAACCAAATTTCATACAAAATTGGCTAGATAATTGAACGGGAAGATTTGCCAACAGAGGGAGAGCAAAGCATCGACAAACACACACCTGAATAAAAAACGATAGTGTAAGATTAAAAATTTGACATGAACAAAATAGAAATGCAAACTAGCACTTGTTTCTAGTTTGAAAATGGACGAAGACTCAATTGCCACAATTAATAAATTAAAACAGATTTACCCCAGAAGACATTTATAATGACATCAAATAGAACTCACAACTCAGTTGAGTAAAATTAGACTCTCACTGTAACCATAGATCCTCCTCCTGGTTCCGGCATAGTTACCAAGTTTTATTCCAGTATCCGTAACTTGATCCGATTTAGGATCGTACAACTCCAACTTTCTGTGTTGCCAATTTCCGTGTGTCGTAAAATGAACACCACCATTTGCTGTAAATGCCAATGGCCATGCAATTTTCCCTCTGCCGGAACAGGAATCGTGCGAATCATTTTCCAGGAATCCATTTCCAGAACCCATATGTCATAGTAGTAATGGTACCCACGATCCGATTCTTGTCTACGATGGAACAAAGAAAGTGATTTCTCCAACACCCTAATGGAAATTGAATCTGTCACTGCGAGCAATCTATCAGGAAGCATAATCCTTTGGAAAATCTCATTCTCCATATCAAAAGAAATGATGTATCTGCAATCTGGAAAAAACTCCTGTACAATCCAATACACAACTCCATTCAAGTAAGTCCATTTATTACTCCAGAACACTTTAAATATTTCTGTCACAGGGGGAACTGCATGGATTATTCTCCAAGAGTCCAACCTAAGGCTGTAAACCTCGACACAGACGCCGTGCAAAAAATCCCCCAACTCTCACAACTTTGTAGTCATTTCCACCAACATCGAGGCCAAACCCAAGAGCTATGGTAGCGACGTCGCTGTAACGATACTTGACACGAATAAGACCTCTAGGAAGTCTCTTGAACTTCCTGATTGATGGATTCCATAAATATGTAGTCTCCTTAGTAGTATCAGATATACAAAGCAATCCATTGCAGGAACCATAAACGTAGAAAGAGGAACCACTCCTATGCGTAGGAAGATCTAAGTCCAAACACTTGGCATATGTTTCGGGACAAAAGACTGACAAGGGATCTGGATTGCCAGAGTGCATAAGTAAATAATCACAACCACTTTTCATGGCAGTCCTTTCGAGATGGGCCCCTATGAAACTTGGGCTGCTAATTAAAGCATGCCAAGACTTGCAAACACATCTGAACTTCAACAGAGATTTTACAGGCAATTTTGCAATGACGTCAAACAAGATTTCATGGGGTATGTCTTTGGGGCTAACCATGTTAAAAACTAAATACATATACAGAATTCAACTGACAAGACCAGGAAACTACAAGCTGCTGTCCAGCAACCCAAACAGTCCCAAAATAGAGAGAATAGAAGGACAAAGCAATAGAATTGAAGTTGGAACGACGATAATTGAGTTCTAGGGGCAAAAATCCAAAAGAAACTCGAGTCTCTTTATAGCCTTTTTACACTAGAGTACATCAGCTTATTAAGAAGACCTAATTGACAAAGGAAATTAAATACCATTACAGGAAATTAAACCGAATCCTAATTGGAATAAGAGAAGTAATAAAAAAAAGCTAATAATTTAAAATAACTAGAATCCTAGTCCAACTGACCAACGGGCTCATGTACTCTTGGAAAGCCCTGTCTAGTGACGGATCCAAGATTTTAGCTATATTAAGGCATGGTCGACTGTCGACTAAATTGCAGAAACTAATTTTCGCTACATGATACTTTTTGGGGGCTGATGCTATCAATAAGTTGATACTATTTTGTGACATAAATTTGGCATCTAAAGCCTGATTAATTCATTGGGATGAGACCATTCACTTTCTATTTTAGAGTTCAGAGTGACTTGTTGGGTAGTCTATATGAAGTTCATGGCTCATAAATTTTCTTATTCGCCATGTAAGTGGCAAAAGGCCAACAAACACAAACCTAAATGAAAAAAAGGAGTTTTTTTTTGTTTTTGTTTTTGTTGGTGTAATGGAATATTAAATTTTTTATATGAACAATTAAATAAAAAAATAAATTGTTAAAGGATGAAGACAGAACTACCAAAAACATGAAATATTCCCTTCTCAAAAGATAAATAAATAAATAAAATGAGATAGTCCTCAAACACATTTATAATGACACCAAACAGAACTCACAACTCAGTTGAGTAAATTAGAATCTCACTGCAGGCAACAAAAAAGAAAAAGAAAAAAAAGGTGGCTGTACTTCGTTTTTTCTAATTTTGTTTTAAAAAAATAGTATATCCGAGCGGCATTGCTCTGCTCTTTTTTTGTCCTGATAAATAGTATAGCCGGTCGGCCATACTCGTTTATAATTTTTTTAAAGAAATAATATAGCCGTACGGCTATACTAAGGTTTTAGAAAATTTTTTCGAAAATAAATGCTATAGCCGCGCGGCTATATTCGGTTCAAATTTTTTTTAAAAGAAATAGTATACAGCGCATCTATACTCGGTTTTTAGAATTTTTTTTTAAAGAAATAGTATTGCCGGTCAGCTATACTCGGTTTTTTTTAATTTTTTTAAAAAGATATAGTACACCCGTGCGGCTATACTCAGTTTTTTTCCCATTTTTTAAAAAAGAATTAGTATACTCGTGCGGCTCTACTTGCTTTCCCTAATATCTTTTTTTAAAAAAATTCAAAAAACCGAGTATAGCCGATCGCTATACTATTTCTTTTAAAAACAAATTCGGAAAACCAAGTAGCGCCGCGCTGCTATACTATTTAATAAAAAAAAAATTATGAAAAAGGGACCCTCCTAGTGCATTAGTTTATACTTTGTAGATATTAATTTAGTATAGCCGTGCGGCTATACTTATTTGTTTAAATTTTGGCATTAAAAAATTATGAAAAAAAGGACCCTTCTAGTTGCATTAGTTTATACTCTATAGATATTTATTTGGTATAGCCGTGAGGGTATACGAATAAAATACATACGTGTTTTATTCGGCAAAATTTTGGCAAATTACAACTTATAAGTTCGGTCACTATATAATATGTGACAATTATGTGTATAATACATGAATTTCCTATGTATTATTGAAAATTTTGTAAAAAATATATGTATTAAACATGAAAATTTGGTACGTACAGGTTCAATACGAGTATTGTACTTTTGCTTTTTTGAAAAACGTGAATTTTACGGATTCTTTAACACGTGTACAAAACACGGATTTATTATTGATATAGATTCTTTAACACGTACATGTATAATACAATATTAAACGGGAAATTGCTAAATTCTTTATAAGAGTAATAACTCTGGAAAAGTAAAAAATCAAAAAAGACAATAGGGACTCGGATAATGGCCTAATAGTAATAGATAATGCTCTAAATACTCTTATCGATAAACAAAAATCGGAGAAAAAATATAAAGAAAAAGAGGATCATAGTATATATATAAAGAGTATAGCAGCTCGACTATACTATTTATTTATTAAAAAATAATAATTAAAAAAGAGCCGTGCGGCTATCCTATTTCTTTTTTTAAAAATTAAGGGGAAAACCGGGTATAGCCGTGCGGCTATACTATTTCTTTTAGAACAAATAGCGGAAGAGGCTCAGTCTTTGAAAGAAGGTCTGGATAAGTATAATTTGAGGAATCAGAAGAGGGCCCAAGAGGCCAGAGAGAGGGCAGAGTTGCTTGGAAGAGCTGTATGCAACTCCCAACCCTTTTACTTTTTGTTTACTACCTCATTCTGATGTATGCCTTTGTTTAATATGCCTTTGTCTTATGATGTAGAATGGGGAGGGTGCCCATGTTTTGAGAATCTTCGAACTTTGATGATGAGCACAAGCAAGGGCGTCAGTTGGTAGTTCTTCTCGCATGCTTGAAGAAGCCAGTGCTACTGGAGAAAGTATTCTTAGGAAATATGCAGAACGATACATCTTTCGTTTCAATTGCCAAGAGAGTTGTATATGGTTGCATATGGTTGTCTGGTTGAAGATGAAGTTGAAAGATACATCTTACGTTTCAATTGCCAAAATGATGTTCTTTGAATTTGATAAATTTTATCTCTGTATATGGTTGTCAAATTCAAATGGACCCTTCATTTTTATTTATTATTTTGGTAATAGTCTGTCTAACCATATTTTCACTTCGTCAGATGAGGTCTTAACTCGAAAAGCATGGCAGCTATTAGATTGGATTTCTTTTATGGGAACATTTTTGCTCACCACTTTAACCAAGGTGTACTGTCACTCCATGGGCATAACCACGGTTAAGCTCATCATGGACACATGTCAAATACGGAGTATACAATGAGTTACAGTGATGAGCAAAAATATTGATTCTGCTCGGACTCTCATACATTTGATAATCCACAATGTAACTTCAAAACTAATATAAACAGACACCATTATGAAGACAGTTCAAATCCAAAGAATTTTGCATTTATCATGAATTTAAATTCTCAATAATGAATCATTTTTCTGAATGAAAAATTTCACTGTACATTACAGTGTACGAACAAGCATCCTAGAGATCATGTATTAATAATTGATCCCTACATAAATGAACAAAACAAATCTGAATAACTGACTGCTGTCAAAAATTTAGATACAGGATTGCTACAATTGTTCATTGATGCCATCACGGCCACCATAGCAATGGCTCATGCAAACTGAAGGAAATGTTCTTGTCTAAAATATTCACGGAACTAGATGGAGTAAAGTAACTCATGAAGACTCCACTTTGACCGCTGGAGGATCCATCCACTTCCAAACAGAAAGGAGACCAGTTGCATCCCCACTGAAGAATAGTCCTCCAGGTCCTACCTCGACCATCTGAACTTCTTGTTTTGCAAATAATCTGCCTCTTTCAGTGAATGATGGCAGTTCATATATGCGGACAGAATTATCATTGCAAGAAGAAAGCAAGATTGGCTTGCTTTCTGCATCTGTCATTCCGGCAAGATCAAGAACACCCTGCTCTTCGTTGTGAGTGTAGGTCACTTCCAAACCACCTCCTTCAATGGCAGCCCACACCTTTATCGTGTTGTCCAGTGAGCATGAGAGCAAGAACTGATCCCAGCAAAGAAGGGACATCACCGCACCAGAATGCCCATTTAGTGTCAGAACACCCTGCAAAGTATAAAGGTCCCACACCTGAAACAAAAAGAACCTTACAGTAAATTACACGAGGAATTTGAATACAGAAGCACTCCAAATCAGATTATTGGAATAAATCATTTTGCTCCCTCTCTTGTAAATAGAGGAGAGGACATATAGTAGAAACTGACAAGACTTGTTTGTAGATGCCACAAACTTACCTAATTGTATGGTCCACAGAACCCGAGTAAAGCCTATTGCGCCCAACAGTTAAACATACCACAGCACCAGTGTGGCCCTTCAGAGTTGCAGCAGGATAAAATGGCAGATTAGTTTCAGTGCTACCTTTCCACACGCATATATCACCATTCTGCAATATTAAAAGAAACAGATAAATCAATTGAAAATGGTGCACTATGAATACAAGGAGGAACATATATCCTAAAATCCCAGCTACGCAATAATTAGGAAAGCTGCAGAATTGTTAGGCTCTTACCTGTGTCCCGGCGAAAAGCATTTCATTACCAACCACCATAGCATGCATTGGCCAACAGGTCCATCCAGGTTGAATTCAGAATTTGTCTCAGTATTCCAAACCTGCAACATCAAGCAAATCAGCATACATATTGAAGTTGAACCAACCAAGCTACTAAAAGAAAGTGATCCAGTTACAACAATGAAATACCTTAACAAGATTTGGTACACCAGCAAAAACCCATGGGCCCTCACTAATTAAAGAACCTGCTTCACCACCAAGATCAATCACACTGCCACATTCACCAGTATGGCAGTCCCAAACTCTGGCTGTTCCATCTTTACTGGTTGAATAAAGCTTGTTAGTTCGTTCAGGAAGGGCAATACCAGTGACAGCCTGTTAACATAAATTTCACAATTATTATGATTGTCCAAACTCGGAAATAAAGAGGAACAGAACAAATTAAAAAGAAAACATACTTCCAAAATGAAAAATACCTTCGTGTGCCCTTGGAGCTTTGCCAACATGGAGAACCCCTCACCACGGAACGAGTTATGCAAATACCGGCATCGATCACCTTTCACACAATTTCCATCTACCCAGAACTTGCAGACACTTTCGGAGTAGGATTGCTTTTCTGGGCAGCATTGCTTTTCTGAGGAGCATTGCTTTCGTGAGGAGCATTGATTTTCTGAGGAGCATTGATTTTCTGAGTAGCATTGCATGCATTGCCCTTTCCGGTGGCAGTTGCTTCCTTCGTCCAAACAAGAGACGACTTCCTTGAAATTTGAGGGTTCATGGATGAAGGCGGTGCATCCGCGTGAAGGAAACGACAGAATTCCCTTGTGCACTTCCAGCAGCCCAAAAGGCGCAAACAGTTTTTGAAGGTCCTCCTGCGGGTCGAGCATACACTGATCTTTCTGGTCTATTGGTGTGCCTCCTCACTACCTTAGTGGCCATACTATAAACACAAATTTTGAAACCAATAAGAAATCGCAGAGAGACAGCTTCGAAGATCACCCCCTCAAACAGAATTTCAATATTTGATCGATCTTCAGAAAACCCTAAAAATATACGAAACCCAATAAGCCTTGAAATCCAAATCGACGTACGATCACCCTCTAAGAATCGAGAAACTAGCAAGGGTGGATTCTTCAAATCCTTTAAATCAATTCTAAAACTTTTCAAACTAGCCAGTCGCCGATCCCAAGGCGTATCCTAAACAACAATAAAAGTAACCCTAAAATCGAAACCCTAGATATCCAGCTTGAGCGAGCATCAAACCCATAACCAAAAACCATTATCCTCAAGAAATACGCGTTCGGCGAAAAAAATAGCCTCTTGGGTATCAATTAACGGTCGAAAACGAACAAAACCCTAGAAGGAACATGCGATTGCAGAGACGCGTGAAGAGAAGAAGCAAACACTGATCGATTCGATTGGGCGAGAGCTTTGAGCTTTGAAGCTATTCGATTATCGTCTGGACTGATTTCGACGCCAATCAATCCAAATGACGAACGATCAAAGAGAGAGAAAACGATCACGGAGAAAGAAAGAAAATGCCTTTTGCTTTCGTTGCGATTGAAACCCTAACTGTAAGCGAAACTTTGATCACTCTGGCCTGAAGCTGATCTTCTATGTGTGTATATATAGTTGGCGTAGGCTGGATACTTTCCAACTGGCGCCAGGAAAGAAGTATTGCGTTCGTTAGACGCGGTGATAGCAAAACTGATCGTGACCGTCCGTTAGATCTAATCTATTTTTGTCGTTTCTCTTTATTTATTTTATACCAACCTAGCTTTCGGACGAAAAAAAACCTAACTAACTTTTTATCGAAAGCAATTTCTTTTTTTTGAAATTATGTTACTAAAACATTTTCACCCATGCCTCTGGAAGATCATAAAGAAAAAATATAGTGGATCAGCATGTTTAATAAAATAAAAATATTTAAACTTAAGGAGTTAGAAGGCTTATTTGGATCGGGAGAGCTCATATATAAGCAAACGAAGTCTAATCCTGTGAAAAAAGAGTTTGATTTGCATACAAGTGATCTTAGGTTCAAACCTCTTTGAAACCTTGATAATGTTTGAATACCCCCTCCCCTTCCTAAAAAAAAAAAAAAAAAAAAAAAAAAAAAATAAGATAGAAATTTAGATAACATTACAAGATCCATTATATGTAGACCCACATTGAAAGATACATCTTACGTTTCAATCGCCAAAATGATGTTCTTTGCATTTCATAGATTTTATCTCTGTATGTTGGTTGTCGAATTCAAATGCACCCTTAATTTTCATTTATTATTTTGATAATAGTCTATGTCTAACCAGATGTTCACTTCGTTAAATGAGGCCCTAAATTTGAATCCCTTGAATTAACAAGTCTCGCCCCCTTCATGCGAGTGCCAAGCGTGGCAGCTATCTCATATTGGATTTCTTTTACCTCCTTTAATGAAAGTTCTTATTGACCAAAAATAAAAAAAAAGATTGGATTTTCTTTTACGAAAACAGCCACCAATCTTAGATTGTGTTCGAATCCCTCAAATTTATGAAAACAGACACCATTCTGAAGACAATGTTCAAAATCAAAGAATTGCATTTATAATGAATTTAATTCTCAATAATGTAAGAACAAACATCACAGAGGGATCATGTATTAAAAATTGATCCCACATAAATGAACACAACTAATTTGAATAGCTGACTGGCTTTAGATACAGGATTGCTACATTTGTTCATTGATGCTTCACGGCCACCATAGCACGGCTATACTGTTTCTTTTTGAAAAATTAAAAACTAGCATAGCCGGGTGGCTATACTATTTCATTTTAGAAAATTAGTGAACAACTGAGTATAGCTGAAAAATGAGGAAAATACCAAGTTTAGCCGCGCGGCTATATTATTTCTTTTTAAAAAATTGGAAAAAAGCCCATTATCGCCACGCGGTTATACTATTTCTTTTAGAAAAAATGGAAAACCGAGTATCGCCACATGGCTATACGATTTTTGTAAAAAAAACAAAAACCAGGTATAGCTTTCGATGAGACACCAGCAAGTCAAGTCAATGGAGTTATGGGTAGGCTGTCTTTTTCATTCATTGAATTCTGCAATTCATCATAACATGCTTGGCTTTCGATGAGACACCAGCAAACGCTAGTTTGTTTCTTGACCACTTCAAGTCGTCGATATCCATGGCTCTTGTGAGAGCAGCCGATCCACAAACCTCCTCTGTTTCCAGTACTTCTGGATATTGTCGTTATCACGTGTTCCTGAGTTTCAGAGGCCAAGACACTCGCAAGACTTTCACTGACCACCTCTACACGGCCCTTGTCAACGCCGGATTTCGCACTTTCCGAGACTACGATGAAGTCGAGAGAGGAGAAGGTATCAAGCCCGAACTGCAGAAAGCAATCAAACACTCACGAACTTCTGTCATTGTGTTCTCGAAAGACTACGCGTCATCCAGATGGTGCCTTGACGAGCTGGTGATGATCCTTGAACGCAAGAGAAAGACCTCAGATGACCATGTCGTTTTGCCTGTCTTCTACGATGTGTATCCATCCCATGTAAAGAAGCAGACAGGAAGTCTTGCAAAGGCATTTGCTAGACACCAAAAAACTCAACCGCTGCCGAAGGTGAAGGCATGGAGAGAGGCACTTGCAGAGGTTGCAGATCTGGCAGGGATGGTCTTGCAAAATCAAGCTCATGGGTAATTTCATTCCTACTACCAACTGAATTAGTTTCTTTATTTGGTTCAAAATTTTGATAGATTCTGTCCTTTCAAATAAAATAAAATAAAAATTATTGATAAAAACACATCACAAAAACACTCAAGACACCCTCAGCAATCCAGATTCTTCTAAAGGCATCCGGGACTGAGATGCAAAGACAGAGAAATACCTATTATCCAGCTGTTATTGCAAACATAGTTTAAGTTCTATCTAACTCTTTCAGCACTCATCTATTATATATTGTACCTTCTAACTTTCTGAACTTATTTCCATGGTATTTATAACTTGTATATGAAATCATGCATGCATGTTTGAATTCTCTTTCATTTTGATTGCAATTTTTAGGTACGAGTCAAAGTTTATCAAGAAAATAGTTAAAGTGATTGGAGACAAACTAAGTCGCACACCATTGAGTGTTGCTCCCAACTTGGTTGGAATGCATTCTCGAGTCGAAAGAATTAATTTCTGGTTACAACGCAGGTCAACTGATGTTGGCATACTTGTAATCTATGGGATGAGTGGAATAGGGAAAACAACCATCGCAAAGACTGTTTACAATTCAAACTTTAGAATATTTGAAGGAAGCAGCTTCCTTGAAAATATCAAAGAAGTTTCAGATCAACCCAATGGCTTAGTTCAAATACAAACACAACTTCTTTCTGATATTTGAATGAAGAAAAATGAAAATAAGCAATGTTAGTGAGGGATTAATTAAGATTGAAGATGCAATAAGCTCTAAAAGGGTTCTTCTTGTTCTCGATGATGTGGATCATATGGACCAATTAGATGCAGTATTTCAAGTGAAAGATCGATTTTATCCAGGAAGTAAAATCATCATAACAACTAGGCGTGCAAGATTGTTAAAGGCTCATCAAATTACTGAGGCGTATGCAGTTGGAACTTTGACTCAAAAAGAATCATTGGAGCTCTTCAGTTGGCACGCTTTTGGCCAAGACCATCCTGTTGAAGATTACATAGAATATTCAGAGAAGCTAGTCGATCATTGCGGAGGACTTCCATTAGCTCTCAAAGTTTTAGGTTCTTCTTTGTTGGGGGAAAGTGTATGTCTATGGAAAAGTGCATTGGAGAAGTTAGAAGTTATTCCAAATGGTGAAATAATAAATAAACTAAGAGTAAGCTATGACTCTTTGCAAGATGACCATGACCAAAAATTATTCCTCCACATTGCTTGTTTCTTTATCGGAATGGACAAAGATTACATTGCTAAAATACTAGATGGATGTGATTTCTATACAATTGTTGGCATTCAAAATCTCATCGATAGATGTTTGGTGATTATTGATGGATGGGACAAGGTGCGGATGCACGACCTGATTCGTGGAATGGGAAGAGAAATTGTTCGCCTAGAATCAAAGGAGCCTTGGAAGCGTAGTAGAGTATGGCATCATAAGGACTCTTTCAAAATCTTGACAGAAAAGAATGTAAGAAATATGCGTTATTTGTACACATTTTTGTTTTTCCTCTTCTAAAAAACTTTCCAAATGTCTTTTCCTTTTCTTTTGTAGGGTACTGAAACAATTGAAGGTCTTGTCCTGGACATGCACATGTACCCTACTATAAACTCAAATGAGAAAGTCTTGGAAACCAATGCATTTTCACGGATGCAGGAACTAAAACTACTCCATCTTAGTCATGTAAAACTCCGCGGATGTTACGCAAAATTTTGTAGTGGACTAAGATGGTTGTGTTGGTTTGAATTTCCTTTAGATTCTATACCTGCCGATTTTCCTGTGGGAAGCATTATTGTTCTTGAAATGCAATACAGCAATCTGAGACAAGTATTCAAGGGAACAAAAGTATGTCACTCTCTACCCTTTTCAATTTCTTTTTCATTTTCATTAGGCTTTTAGTTTGATAACAAATTATATATTTGTAAAAATTAACTCCCCACATTGTTTTCTTCTGTACATTTTTTTCCTCTACAGTATCTTCCGTCCTTGAAGACCCTTGATCTCAGCCATTCTCATTCCCTTACAGAAACCATTGAATTCTCATATTGCCCAAATCTAGAGAAATTGGTTCTAGTAGACTGCACGAGCCTGATTTATCTCCATGGATCCATTGGAAACCTAGAGAGACTTACTTACTTGAATATGAAAGATTGCAAAAAGATTAGGTTGCTTCCCAAGAACATTTGTATGCTAAAATCACTTGAAACATTTATTATATCTGGTTGCTCAAATCTAAAGGAGTTATCAATTGAGATGTTGAGGAACATGGACTCGTTAAAAGTGCTTGAGACAGATGGAATTCCGATAAGTGAATTATGGCTAGAAAGAAGTTTGAGTATCTTGTGTTCTTTACCATGCTCTTTAGTAGAATTAAGTCTTTGGGGGTGCAATCTTTCGGATGATGCCTTTCCTATGGATTTTAGTAATATGTCGTCATTGCAAAGATTAAATCTAGGGAATAATCCAATTTGTAGCCTACCAAATTGTATCAAAGGATTAGCGAGGCTCGATAAACTCTCTTTTTTCCATGTGTACGAGTCTCAAATCGCTTCTGGGGTTACCAAAAGTAAACAACTTGGATATTGTAGATTGCATTTCATTGGAGAAAATGACATTTCAATCCCGTCACGTAGAGACAGCCATATCATTTAATCACAGCAGCCTAGTTGAGTGGCAGTACAAGTTCAAGTTACAAGCCATCATTGGATTGTGCAACTTGTTGGAATCAATGGCACCCATTCTACAAAAGGATGATCCAATTCCCGTCCAGGTGTGCGCCTCTCTCTCTCTCTCTCTCTCTCTCTCCTCTCTCTCTCTCTCTCTCTCTCTCTCTCATAATATCAGTTCTATTGCATATATATAGGGACTATACGAATGTCGTATATTCAGCACATTTTTTGGTGGGAATGAGGTTCCAGGCCAATTCAGCCATAAAAGCAGAGGGTCCTCAATATCTTTTACTGTGCCATTACTTGATAATCACAGAACTCGAGGCTTGATTGTCTTTGTTGTCTATGTGAATGCTGGCTATGATTCTCCTATTGTCCACCACAATTATTGGCCACATATAATAGTCAAAAATAAGAGCAAGGGTCTGTCGAAGGTGTATGACCCATCACACTACGGTATTCCAGGTGAAGGAGAAGACATGATATGGTTAAGCCACTGGAGTTTGGAGGATGAGCCTTTACAAGGGGGCGATGAAGTGGTTGTTTCTGTAATTATGAAATCTGGGCTTCTGGTAAAGGAGTTGGGCATCCGACTTGTGCAGGTGCAACAAGAAGAGAATCATAATATGATGAGTATTTCTACAGATTCTTCTTATGATCGATTATCGTTCAATATGATCCTTGGGGACTCTGATGAAGAAGGTAAGGCAGGTGTGATGTTTTATTAACGCGTTTCATAATTTTACTCCAACTATTTCCAAATATAAAATAAAATAAAATAAAAATAAAGCAAAATAATAAATGAATCTATATTTTGTCTTGTATATATGTTTTCCAGAGGAGGTTTTCTCTCGTTTTGTATGTTTACCAGACGAAGAAGAAGAGCCACAGGATGATATCACAGTTGCAACCACTACAGGCAGCAATAACTCCGGCGGCCTCGGTGGCTGGAAGGTGCTCGCAGCTTGTTTCTGTTGTCCCGTTGGTATGAAAATGTAGCTGTCTTCTCTCTCAGGCAGAAAGAAGGGACCGTCCACAAGCCCTGGATGAATTTTTTGTACATCTCAACAGCAGACTATTGTGTTTTGCATACATCCAATGTCATTTCGTAGCATCAAATGCATCTTCTTCGGAGATATTTTTATTGACCCCATTTGTTCAGTTTTAACATATCATTGGGCTGGAAAACTGAAGTGGCCCAACCCAGATTGTGAGATTAGCATCTGCATCTGCTCTGTTGATATATTTTGTGACATTTTTTTTTCTTTTTTCTTCCTTCTGTAAGCGTTGGTTCCTTTGCCCTTCTTCTGTTCTTCTTGTCTTCTAAATGTTTCTCTCTTTTTTTTTTTTTTTTTTTTTTTTTTTTTTTTTTTTTTTTTTTTTTATGAAATTTTCTTTTTTTTACTTTTTTCTTTCAATAGCAACCTAACAATTCTTCTTCTTGTTTCTGAGATCTATTTGTTAGTTTTATAACATCTAAGCAGACATACAAATAATACACAAGATACCTGCAGCAGAAACCATTGTTACAGTAGACAGGTCTTCCACCTCTTTAGCAAGCTCTGTATATCACTCTATCTCAATGGGGCTCAAGAACTTTTGTGATTCGGTGCTTGACAGAGGCAGGGACCTATCCTATTTATAATGAGCTTTAGTTGGTGTAATTCTAATAGGACTCTCCCATTACAATCCTATTAGAATTCAACTTAATCACCAAGTAACTGGATGACTATGTCCAACTCTTTTAATTATATTAGGACTCCAATGCTTAAATAGAATATCTTAATCACATCCGTATAAGCTTCAGGATACTTGTTCTAATTGATCTTGGTATCTGTCTCAGAGTCCTAGCCAAGTTCAATGAGTGTGTGACCTTAAAACGCTTACATTCTCCCACTAGGGCACACACACCATCAAAACATAAGCTCCTTTTGAACTCGAAACAAACACAAACTTTAAGGCGCCATAAGATCAAAGAACAAAAGTCCTAAACATGTTTCTGTCAGATGAGAATATAAATGCAGAACTACAGATACACTAACTCGTTTCAATCAAGCAAGGCATCCATAATTACAACCATAAAATCCTCATCCACATGAAACTCCCACAAGACAAAGTCAAATAGATGCACTATATGCTCTTTATATGTGAACTGCATGCATATAGATACACCAGGTCCACTTAATGCTTCTAAACGAAGCTCTGTATGGTTGCATTCAAACTTTAATTCATGAAAATAAATCATGAAAACAATTAATACTTAATTGAATGAGAAACTGTATCAACCAAATATGAAACTTCAATAGTTAAGCAAAATCAAAACATAAAATTCTACCTCAGTGCATATCTAATAACTGAAAATGAACTGCAAATTTACTCCCACTATTCTGCATCATCGAAACTAGCCAAAATCCCCATGCTAGTCACATGTCTCTTGAATATACTGTTGGGAATTGCTTTATTCAAAGGGTCAGCAATCATATCATGTGTGCTTATGTGATCAATCCGAGTCTGGCCTTGCTTAATCTTCTCTCTCACTAACAGAAACTTTATTTCAAGATGTTTTGTACCCGCTGACCTCTTGTTGTTTCTGGAATAAAATACTGTTGCACTATTATCACAGAAAATTTGCACAGGTCTGGCAATCGAATCCACCACACGCAAACCTGTTATAAAATTCTTCAACCAAGATGCTTGGATGGTGGCCTCATAACAAGCAACAAACTCAGCCTGCATCGTTGAAGCAGCCACGGTGCTTTGCTTCGAACTTTTCCATGAAACAGCTCCTCCTGCTAGCAAGAAAACAAATGCTGATGTAGACTTTAAATCATCTGGACAACCTGCAAAATCAGAATCACAATATCCTACTAACTCCAAGCTTTCTTGTCTCTGATAAACCAGCATAAAACTCTTTGTCCTTTGCAAATATCTCATGACTTTCTTGGCCGCTATCCAATGTGCATTCCCTGGATTTGCTTGAAATCTGCCTAACACACTAATTGCAAAGGCAATGTCTGGTCTTGTGCATACTTGAGCATACATTAAGCTGCCCACTAAAGATGCATAGGGTCTGTTCTTCATCTCTTCTTTCTCCAACTCATTTTGAGGACTTTGAGCTCTACTTAGTTTGTCTCCTTTTGTAATAGGAACTTCTCCAGATGCACAAGATAACATGTTAAATCTTTTAAGCACTCTTTCTATGTATCCCTTCTGTGATAAACCAAGCATACCACGACTTCTGTCTCTGTGTATCTCTACTCCTAGCACATAAGACGCCTCCCCCATATCTTTCATCTCGAAATGTGATGACAGAAAAAACTTTGCAGCAAGCATAGACAAATTGTTAGTGGCCAGTAAAATATCATCGACATAGAGTACTAAGAAGATGAAATTGCTCCCACTAAATTTAGATAAATACACTCATCCACTGGATTCTCTGTGAAGCCTTGTGAGCTTACAACTTCATCAAACCTCAAGTACCATTGCCTTGATGCCTGCTTCAGTCCATAAATGGACTTCTTGAGTTTGCAGACCAAATGCTCTTCTCCTTCCTTTATAAAACCCTCAGGTTGCACCATATATATTTCTTCATCCAGTCTCCCATTTAAAAAGGCTGTCTTTACATCCATTTGATGTAAAAACAGGTCATATTGTGCAGTAAGAGCCATGATAATCCGAAAAGCATCTTTAGTTGAAACTGGGGAAAAAGTTTCACTATAATCTATTCCTTCTTTTTGAGTAAAACCTTTTGCAACTAATCTGGCCTTGAATCTTTCTATGTTGCCCATTGAGTCTTTCTTGGTTTTGAACACCCCATTTACACCCTATTGGCTTCACTCCTTCTGGCAGCTCTACTAAATCCCACACCTGATTGTTTTCCATTGAATCTAATTCACTTTCCATGGCTTCTTTCCCTTTCAATACCTCTGGACTATTAATTGCTTCATTGAAAAACAAAGGATCTTCAAAATCTGATGCCATAAACTCTGATTCTTGTAAATACACTACATAATCTTGAGATATTGCTGGTCTTCTATTTCTGTTAGATCTTCTCTGTGGAGCTGGTGCTTCTTGTGGCTGAACTACTTCATTGTTCACATCTTGAGTTTCCTGGACTTGAATTTCATTCATGTCTTCTTGTTCAGGTTCCATATCTTCATAATCTTCCCCTTGTATTTCACTTATATGTGGAACTTGCACACTTTGCTTTGCTGGCTCAATTGCAATTTCACCCAGCTCTTCAAAAATGAAATCTGTGGCCTTCCTTTCTTCATGGACATTTTCTAGAAAAACTGCCCTACCTGTTTCCACAAGCCTTGTTGTATGATTTGGACAATAAAATCTGTACCCCTTCGTCTTCTCTGGATAACCTACAAAAAAACAACTTATGGTCTTGGGATCCAATTTCTTCTCTTGTGGATTGAAGACTTTTGCTTCTGCCTTGCACCCCCATATATGCAAATGGTTGAGGCTCAGCTTTCTGTTAGTCCATAGCTCAAAAGGGGTCTTTGATACTGCCTTACTTGGTACACGGTTTAGGATGTAGTTTGCTGTCCTTATTGCCTCGCCCCATAGGTAATTAGGTAGCTGTGAATTGCAGATCATACTCCTCACCATATCCTTGAGTGTTCTATTTCTTCTTTCAGCTACACCGTTCTGCTCTGGAGTTCCTGGATTGGTGTATTGTGCAACAATTCCACATTCCTGCAAATACTTAGCAAAAGGTCCAGGGTGTCTGCCAGTTTGATCAAATTTCCCATAATATTCACCTCCCCTATCAGACCTAACAACTTTTATCTTTAATTCCAACTGTCTTTCAACTTCTGTTTTAAAAATTTTAAAAGCTTCCAGAGCACTAGACTTTTCTGTAATGAGAAACAAGTAGCCATACCTAGAGTAGTCATCTATGAAGGTTATGAAGTATCTGTGGCCTTCTAGAGTTTGGATGGGAAAAGGGCCACAGATGTCTGTATGGATTATTTCTAAGAGTTGACCACTTCTGTTTGAGCCTTTCTTTCTTGCCTTAGTTAATTTCCCTTTAATACAATTGACATAGACATCTAGATCAGAGAAGTCTACTGATGGCAGGATTTGTTCTTTAACTAAGCGTTGGATTCTATCTTTAGAGATGTGACCTAACCTATGATGCCAAAGCCTAGCAGATTGAGTTGGACTTGGAATGATTTCAGTGTTTAGAGCAGCTGGTATGGAATTCAAGTGAAATAAACCACATTCAACAGGGCCTTTTGCAACTGGAATTGAATTATGAAACAAACTGAAGCCTTCTTTATTGAATTGAAAAGAATAATTCGACAGAACCAACTTAGAAATTGAAATAAGATTCCTTCTCATGGAAGGTACATAGACTACATCATCTAGCTCTAGACAATGACTCGATCCTAACTGAAGATTGACGACTCCTACTGCTTTGACTTCAACCTTTGTTCCATCCCCTACGAAGACATTGACCTCATTCCTATTTGGAGTTCTCTTTCTTAGAAAGCCCTTTAACTTCTTGTTTCTCTAACCATCGCTTGTATTTATGACAAGCTTTCTTCATGTGCCCTGGCCTTTTACAGAAGAAACACTTAAAGTTGGATGTTTTGTTAGCCTTAAAGTCATTGGTCTTTTTAGGGAAGTGAACATTCTTGACTAGCTCCTTTTTGGCAGACTCATTTGGGTAGGATTTTGGAGGGTTGATTTTAGTTATCATGTTAACTGTGAGATCCACTTTTTCCCTTCTGATCCTATCTTCTTCTTGAACACATATTGCTATGAGTTCATTCAAATTCCATTTCTCTCTTTGAGCATTGTAACTTGATTTCAGTGTAGTGAATTCAGCAGGCAATGAGTTAAGAGTGGTATGCACAAGAAAAGCATCAGACAGAGATACCTCTAGTTCCTTCAGTTTGCTGGAGATATCAATTAATTTCAGAATGTACTCCCTGACACTTCCAGCTCCATCATACCTCATTGTTGTCAGTTCACACATAAGCACACCAGTTTCTGCTTTCTCAGATCGTTGGAACCTCTCTTCCACTGCAGCCAAATAAGCTTTTGCATCCTTGAGATCAGGAACACCTCCTCGAACAGCATCAGTCATAGATCTCTTGATGATCATCAGTGCAACCCTATTTGCCTTTTTGCCATTTTTCATACTTCGATCTCTGAGTAGCACTTGCTCCATCTGCTGGTCTTGCTGGTTCATCTTCTCTAAGAGCCAAATCCATATCCATAATTCCCAGCACTATATCCACATCCTCTTTCCACTTCTTGAAGTTTGTCCCAGTCAATGGAACAATTGCGTGGTGACTTATAGAGGATGGGTTCAAAGCTGCAGAATAGGACATGCTAGAGTAAATTATCTTTTCCCCAAAACTGGAAACATATTAGGATTCATTTGTTTTGAATTTCTAATATGCAATACTTGATCATAAAACCAATGCACAGATACATGTTAACTGACTTTCATTGAGACTTTTATACTTTTGAGTAGAAAAATTTCAAACAGTTTTCATAAGCCATGCACTATTTTATGCTAACACATACCAAAACACATAGAACATCTTTGCTTTGGCAAAACTGTTCTCTATATCTCAATATGTGTTACAGACTCAATCCTTTTCTTTTGTTCAATTGATATATCATAACCAACAAAAATTGCTTTGGCTATTTTATTTGATTATGATATCCCTTTAGGAACTATTCGAATTGACTGTATAGTTTCCTGCAGAATGGTTAGTAAACCAATAAAAATAATAATCTTTATATCTATAACAAAAACTGCAGAATTGGGTTTATCCTCCTGCAAATGCTGCTGCCCTTATAGGTATTACAAGTATGACAAAACCTGCAGCTCTGATACCACATGTTAGTTTTATAACATCTAAGCAGACATACAAATAATACACAAGATACCTGCAGCAGAAACCATTGTTACAGTAGACAGGTCTTCCACCTCTTTAGCAAGCTCTGTATATCACTCTATCTCAATGGGGCTCAAGAACTTTTGTGATTCGGTGCTTGACAGAGGCAGGGACCTATCCTATTTATAATGAGCTTTAGTTGGTGTAATTCTAATAGGACTCTCCCATTACAATCCTATTAGAATTCAACTTAATCACCAAGTAACTGGATGACTATGTCCAACTCTTTTAATTATATTAGGACTCCAATGCTTAAATAGAATATCTTAATCACATCTGTATAAGCTTCAGGATACTTGTTCTAATTGATCTTGGTATCTGTCTCAGAGTCCTAGCCAAGTTCAATGAGTGTGTGACCTTAAAACGCTTACACTATTTGTTCTGCAAAGTTAATTCTCTCATTTGTCTAATTCTTTCTTTGAAGTCTCCTAATTAATTTCAGTTTTTAATTGTCCAAAATTGACAGAAATAGGATGGGTGAAGTTCTAGGCTTCTTTTCTTTTTTCATTGGTTCATAATAATTATTTTTTTTTCTTTTTTAATTTTGTTCAATTTTTTTTTTTTTTTTTGTTTGGGTTGGGGGTTTTATTCAGTGGTTTTTATTTTTATTTTTATTTTTGTTGGCTAAGAGAGGGAAAAAATGGTATAAAACTTTCTTCAATTTTGGTTTAGGGAAAGTAAAGAAAAAACAAAATACCTGAAAGAGCTTTGCAACAGAGTTTTTATTCGAAAGGCATTTGATGTAAACTTAGAACTATAACAGAAGGGAAAATGCAGGAGATATAATCTGTAAACGGGTCTAAGTTGGGTATTTTAAATTGTGAAAGGTTTTAGCGCATTGAATCTAACTTAACATAATATCATCTAGTAAGAGCATCTCCAGTAGGGGGTTGTATAATGAGGTGTATGTTAAATATATACCATTTGTGATCGGAATCACTTGCAATGGGTAGGTGTGAATGATTATAAATTTGCATCACAACCGTGAGATGCAAATTTAGATGAACATGTGCATCCTTTTTCACATCTCTTACAGGCGGGGGGCCTATATGAGAAAATATGAGAAAATGTGGACAAAAGTGAGCAAAAAGGCTTAATGTAAACCTACTTGCCCAAGACGCTCGGCTAGAGTAGTTGCTAGACAAAACTTTATACTTAATTTGTAGCCACATAAAATAAAATAATTCATTATTACTGATTACGCTTCAACAGTGAAACTCATAATTAATCAATTAATTAATAGGTAATATATATGTAGTAGCTTGTTCTTCTAATAATTTTTTTGGGGATGAAATCATATCTTCTCGAAATTTAAATCTTTTTAGGTCTATTTGTTTGAAAAAATAAATAAACTTAACACACACAAAATTAATTTTATGTAGTTAACACAAAAACGAATTAAGACAAAAAAAAATCAATTATACATCTTTAGATTTACATCTTCCCCATTGGAGCAAAAACCACATTTACAACCCCCGAATGTGTAAAGGGGATGTAAAAGTGGCTTTACACCCCTCACAGTTTAAAATTCTTGCTTTGAAATATTTACAGTTGTGCCACTACACTTCCGTTGACTATAACTTCTCCATTAAAATTCCGATTTGGGCCCACTACGTGTCTACGAACTCATATCGACGAGCTCTACGCTATGGTGTCACTCAAATCCCAAAAATCGTTATGCATTGAAAAATGACTATTGGATCTTACTCCGAGGATAAAATTGTAATTTCACAATTAAATAAATTAAATATATGGTTAAAATTGGGTCGGGGTGTCACAGAGTGAAGCCGCGCCAATATACTATTCTTTAAATTTTTTTGGTAAAACCGACTATAGAGATGCATAGTCATTTCCCATGATAACTAGCACAGCCAAGACATTGTTCATTCTTTGTCTACTAAAAGTCCACTGCCGAATTCCGTTGGCCAGGTGTAGCGTTTCGAATGCGCCAAATGGAAGCAACCGATTGGTCCAACCAATCCATGACATGGACATTAACAAAAAAAATGTCACAACCTAGCTAGCTTGCAAAGCAAAGTGTGAATCTAAAGCCTTTTGTGGTTGTGGAGGTTCCTGGCTTATAAGCCAACAGCTGTTTGTTTAGCAGTCTCATGTATTATTGTTTCTTGATTATCTATTGTAGGTTGGAGGTAGCTCTTGCTCATCAATGTACTCTGGCCGCGGTGTGGGTGGAAGCAGTTATATGGGTTCAGGCGGTTCTGGCTCGTACCATTGAGGTAATTTAATTTGTTGTGCTATTCATGTTTTATTAAGTCAGTGATGCATGCTTGAGTATGAGCCCAAGGTGCCCAAGTCATTACTATTTTTTCCTCTGGAGATTAATATTTTTCGAAGGCACGGCTTCTCTTCTTTTGCTCTAAAAGGTCACGGGTGAAAACAGACCAATATGGTTACAAGTGAATTTGTCTATGGAACAGATCTGACATGAGCAAGAGGATGCTGTAGAATGTGGACTGTATGAAGCTTTTGCATTATGATGCCTACAGTTATGGACAGAGAGAATTTCCCTAAGAGCCTATGTATGTGCTGAGAATCTTTCATTGTATACAATAGGGTGGTGGTTGTGGTTCAAGCCCTCTTGGCTATCCACAGATTGGTGGTCAGGCTGTAGTTATTTCGCTGCAAGGATACTCAAGCTGTGTCGTCTAATTTATCTCCTATAAGAACTTCACCTGATGGAAAGCTTGGAGTCATGCTGCATCCTTTGTTCTTATGAATGGTAGATTATAACAAGAGAAGGTGGGATTTCTTAAGGTAAACGGGAAGATTTGGCAACAAAGGGAGAGCAAAGCATCGAAAAACACACACCTAAATAAAAAACGATAGGGTAAGACTACAAATTTGATATGAACAATTAAAAACTAAAAACTAGTATAGCCGAGCGGATATACTGTTTCATTTTTAGAAAAAGCAAAACAGTTAGGGACGGCTAACCTATTTCTGTTTGAAAAATTAGGAAAATACCAAGTTTAGCCGCGCGGCTATATTATTCCTTTAAAAAAAAATGGAAAAGGCCCCGTATCGCCAAGCGGCTATACTATTTCTTTATATAAAAAATGGAAAAACCAAGTATCGCCACACGGCTATATTATTTCTTAAATAAAAAAAAAAAAAAAACAAAAAGTATAGCTGGTTGGCTATACTATTTTTCTTAAAAAAACGGTAGTATAGCCAGCGGCTATACAATAAAAAAAATATATGAATAAGGGACCCTTCTAGTTGCATTAGTTTATACTTTATAGATATTTGCTTTATATATATAGATTAATTTGGTATAGCCACACGGCTATACAAATAAAATATGTACATGTTTTATTTTTTAAAATTTTGGCATAAAAAAAATTAATGAAAAAAGGATCCTCCTAGTTGCGTTAATTTATACTTTATAGATATTGATTTGATATAGTTACACGGGTATTCTATTATGAAAAAAATTAGTAAAAAAACAGAGTATAACAGCTATACTATTTCTTTTTAAAAAATTGGGGGGGAAAAAAAAACCGGTGTATAGCCGCCCGGCTATACGATTTCTTTTGGAAAAATTTGGAAAAAACCCGAGTATAGCCGCGCGGTTATACTATTTATTTTTTAACAAAATGGGGAGAACCGAGTTAATTAAGCAATTAGTAATTAAGATGATATAAAATATCAAGTAGTTAATTAATTATTTATTTCAGTGTGAACAAGCATAAGTTTATTAAGCTAAGATCCAAGTTGTTCCAGAAAAATGTAGGGTTATTGTTAGAGTAGCGAATTGCTTCACATGGAGGGAGACACGACAATTTTCACAGACGAGGAGCTAGAGATGACGGCTAGATTTGTATTGAAAACAATGAAAAAAACTGACCTTTCCGTTGCGTCTTGCATTAGTGTAAGGAACGCTGCCTATGGACAAGAATGATTTTCCAAAATCCTATCCTCTTACTGTGATGTCTCAGACGTGTTTCAGCTAATCTCCGGCGAGGAATTCAAGTTTCCTCTCATAGTTGAAAACCCCAGGCATGAGGAAGGAATTAGATTGATATTATGATATCAAAAGGCACACATTGCCGACCCCATTAATGTGGTATACGCAGCCATAATAATTTCCCATGATAACTAGCAAAGCCAAGACTTCATTCTTTGTCTGCTCAAAGTCCACTGCCGAATTTCGTCTGCCAAGTGTAGCGTTCCGAATGCGCCAAATGGAAGCAACCAATTGGTCCAACCAATCCATGACATGGACATTAACAAAAAAATGTCACAACCTAGCTAGCTTGCAAAACAAAGTGTGAATCTAAAGCTGAATATGTAAACAGGAACAAGGAAAACACATAATAACACCCAGATCAAAATTGAATATGTAAAAAGCAAGAAGTAATTATTAGCCAAGCCAAGTCTCATCACCAAATCCATTCCAAAGGCAATTGGCAATAAAAAAAAGGAATTGAGAAAAGTGAAACTACTGGTAAAGGTCACAGAGTGAAAGGAGGACATTGAAGATTAAGGGACGCTCTGTTTCTGTGGTCTACGTTAGCCTAATCGCTTTTCAAGTCAAGTCAATGGAGTTATGGGTAGGCGTTCTTTTTAATTCATTGAATTCTGCAATTCATCATAACATGCTTGGCTTTCGATGAGACCAGCAAACGCTAGTTTGTTTCTTGACCACTTCAAGTCGTCGATATCCATGGCTCTTGTGAGAGCAGCCGATCCACAAACCTCCTCTGTTTCCAGTACTTCTGGATATTGTCGTTATCACGTGTTCCTGAGTTTCAGAGGCCAAGACACTCGCAAGACTTTCACTGACCACCTCTACACGCCCTTGTCAACGCCGGATTTCGCACTTTCCGAGACTACGATGAAGTCGAGAGAGGAGAAGGTATCAAGCCCGAACTGCAGAAAGCAATCAAACACTCACGAACTTCTGTCATTGTGTTCTCGAAAGACTACGCGTCATCCAGATGGTGCCTTGACGAGCTGGTGATGATCCTTGAACGCAAGAGAAGACCTCAGATGACCATGTCGTTTTGCCTGTCTTCTACGATGTGTATCCATCCCATGTAAAGGAAGCAGACAGGAAGTCTTGCAAAGGCATTTGCTAGACACCAAAAAACTGAACCGCTGCCGAAGGTGAAGGCATGGAGAGAGGCACTTGCAGAGGTTGCAGATCTGGCAGGGATGGTCTTGCAAAATCAAGCTCATGGGTAATTTCATTCCTACTACCAACTGAATTAGTTTCTTTATTTGGTTGCATGAATTCGTATCTCGTTATTAAATGTTTCAAAATTTTGATAGATTCTGTCCTTTCAAATAAAATAAAATAAAAATTATTGATAAAAAACACATCCGCAAAAACACTCAAGACACCCTCAGCAATCCAGATTCTTCTGAAGGCATCCGGGACTGAGATGCAAAGACAGAGAAATACCTATTATCCAGCTGTTATTGCAAACGCAGTTTTAAGTTCTAACTCTTTCAGCACTCATCTATTATATATTTGTACCTTCTAACTTTCTGAACTTATTTCCATGGTATTTTATAACTTAGTATATGAAATCATGCATGCATGTTTGAATTCTCTTTCATTTTATTGCAATTTTTTAGGTACGAGTCAAAGTTCATCAAGAAAATAGTTAAAGTGATTGGAGACAAACTAAGTCGCACACCATTGAGTGTTGCTCCCAACTTGGTTGGAATGCATTCTCGAGTCGAAAGAATTAATTTCTGGTTACAACGGAGGTCAACTGATGTTGGCATACTTGTAATCTATGGGATGAGTGGAATAGGGAAAACAACCATCGCAAAGACTGTTTACAATTCAAACTTTAGAATATTTGAAGGAAGCAGCTTCCTTGAAAATATCAAAGAAGTTTCACAGCAACCCAATGGCTTAGTTCAAATACAAACACAACTTCTTTCTGATATTTTGAATGGAAGAAAAATGAAAATAAGCAATGTTAGTGAGGGATTAATTAAGATTGAAGATGCAATAAGCTCTAAAAGGGTTCTTCTTGTTCTCGATGATGTGGATCATCTGGACCAATTAGATGCAGTACTTCAAGTGAAAGATCGATTTTATCCAGGTAGTAAAATCATCATAACAACTAGGCGTGCAAGATTGTTAAAGGCTCATCAAATTACTGAGGTGTATGCAGTTGGAACTTTGACTCAAAAAGAATCATTGGAGCTCTTCAGTTGGCACGCTTTTGGCCAAGACCATCCTGTTGAAGATTACATAGAATATTCAGAGAAGCTAGTCGATCATTGCGGAGGACTTCCATTAGCTCTCAAAGTTTTAGGTTCTTCTTTGTTGGGGGAAAGTGTATGTCTATGGAAAAGTGCATTGGAGAAGTTAGAAGTTATTCCAAATGGTGAAATAATAAATAAACTAAGAGTAAGCTATGACTCTTTGCAAGATGACCATGACCAAAAATTATTCCTCCACATTGCTTGTTTCTTTATCGGAATGGACAAAGATTACATTGCTAAAATACTAGATGGATGTGATTTCTATACAATTGTTGGCATTCAAAATCTCATCGATAGATGTTTGGTGATTATTGATGGATGGGACAAGGTGCGGATGCACGACCTGATTCGTGGAATGGGAAGAGAAATTGTTCGCCTAGAATCAAAGGAGCCCTGGAAGCGTAGTAGAGTATGGCATCATAAGGACTCTTTCAAAATCTTGAAGGAAAAGAATGTAAGAAATATGCGTTATTTGTACACATTTTTGTTTTTCCTCTTCTAAAAACTTTCCAAATGTTTTTTCCTTTTCTTTTGTAGGGTACGGAAACAATTGAAGGTCTTGTCCTGGACATCCACATGTGCCCTACTATAAACTCAAATGAGAAAGTCTTGGAAACCAATGCATTTTCACGGATGCAGGAACTAAAACTACTCCATCTTAGTCATGTAAAACTCCGCGGATGTTACGCAAAATTTTGTAGTGGACTAAGATGGTTGTGTTGGCTTGAATTTCCTTTAGATTCTATACCCGTCGATTTTCCTGTGGGAAGCATTATTGTTCTTGAAATGCAATACAGCAATCTGAGACAAGTATTCAAGGGAACAAAAAGTATGTCACTCTCTACCCTTTTCAATTTCTTTTTCATTTTCAATAGGCTTTTAGTTTGATAACAAATTATATATTTGTAAAAATTAACTCCCCACATTGTTTTCTCCTGTACATTTTTTCCTCTACAGTATCTTCCGTCCTTGAAGACCCTTGATCTCAGCCATTCTCATTCCCTTACAGAAACCATTGAATTCTCATATTGCCCAAATCTAGAGAAATTGGTTCTAGTAGACTGCAAGAGCCTGATTTATGTCCATGGATCCATTGGAAACCTAGAGAGACTTATTTACTTGAATATGAAAGATTGCAAAAAGATTAGGTTGCTTCCCAAGAACATTTGTATGCTAAAATCACTTGAAACATTATTATATCTGGTTGCTCAAATCTAAAGGAGTTATCAATTGAGATGTTGAGGAACATGGACTCGTTAAAAGTGCTTGAGACAGATGGAATTCCGATAAGTGAATTATGGCTAGAAAGAAGTTTGAGTATCTTGTGTTCTTTACCATGCTCTTTAGTAGAATTAAGTCTTTGGGGGTGCAATCTTTCGGATGATGCCTTTCCTATGGATTTTAGTAATATGTCGTCATTGCAAAGATTAAATCTAGGGAATAATCCAATTTGTAGCCTACCAAATTGTATCAAAGGATTAGCGAGGCTCGATAAACTCTCTTTTTCCATGTGTACGAGTCTCAAATCGCTTCTGGGGTTACCAAAAGTAAACAACTTGGATGTTGTAGATTGCATTTTATTGGAGAAAACAACATTTCAATCCCGTCACGTAGAGACAGCCATATCATTTAATCACAGCGGCCTAGTTGAGTGGCAGTACAAGTTCAAGTCACTAGCCATTGAAATTGTAGATCCAGAAAGATCAACTTCTTTGGATTGAGCAACTTGTTGGAATCAATGGCACCCATTTTACAAAAGGATGATCCAATTCCCGTCCAGGTGTGCGCCTCTCTCTCTCTCTCTCTCTCTCTCTCTCTCTCATATGATCACAGGAAAGAGTTGACTAATATTGTCAGTTCTATTGCATATATATAGGGACTGGTTGAATGTGGTATATACAGCACATTTTTGGTGGGAATGAGGTTCCTGGCCAATTCAGCCATAAAAGCAGAGGGTCCTCTATATCTTTTACTGTGCCATTCCTTGATAATCACAGAACTCGAGGCTTGATTTTCTTTGTTGTCTATTCGAATGCTGGCTATGATTCTCCTATTATCCACACAATTGTTTGACACATATAAGAGTCAAAAATAAGAGCAAGGGTCTGAGGGGGGCGTATGAACCATCACACTACGGTATTCCAGATGAAGGAGAAGACATGATATGGTTAAGCCACTGGAGTTTGGAGGATGATCAGTTCCAAGGGGGCGATGAAGTGGTTGTTTCTGTAATTATGAAATCTGGGCTTCTGGTTAAGGAGTTGGGCATCCGACTTGTGCAGGTGCAACAAGAAGAGAATCATAATATGATGAGTATTTCTACAGATTCTCTTATGATCGATTATCGTTCAATATGATCCTTGGGGACTCTGATGAAGAAGGTAAGGCAGGTGTGATGTTTTATTGACGCGTTTCATAATTTTACTCCAACTATTTCCAAATATAAAATAAAATAAAATAAAATAAAGCAAAATAATAAATGAATCTATATTTTGTCTTGTATATATGTTTTCCAGAGGAGGTTTTCTCTCGTTTTGTATGTTTACCAGACGAAGAAGAAGAGCAACAGGATGATATCACAGTTGCAACCACTACAGGCAGCAATAACTCCGGCGGCCTCGGTGGCTGGAAGCTGCTCGCAGCTTGTTTCTGTTGTCCCGTTGGTATGAAAATGTAGCTGTCTAAACTCTCTCAGGCAGAAAGAAGCGACAGTCCACAAGCCCTGGATGAATTTTTTGTACATATCAACAGCAGACTATTTGTTTTTGCATACATCCAATGTCATTTCGTAGCATCAAATGCATCTTCTTCGGAGATATTTTTAGATGAACATGTGCATCCTTTTTCACATCTCTTACAGGTGGGGGCCTACATGAGAAAATATGAGAAAATGTGGACAAAAGTGAGCAAAAAGGCTTAATGTAAACCTACTTGCCCAAGACGCTCGGCTAGAGTAGTTGCTAGACAAAACTTCATACTTAATTGTAGCCACATAAAATAAAATAATCCATCTCATAACTAATCAATTAATTAATAGGTAATATATATATATATATATATAGTAGCTTGTTCTTCTGATAATTTTTCTGTGGATGAAATCATATCTTCTCCAAATTTAAATATTTTTAGGTCTATTTGTTTGAAAAAATAAAATAAACTTAACACACACAAAATTAATTTTATAAAGTTAACATAAAAACGAATTAAGACAAAAAAAAAATCAATTATACATCTTTAGATTTACATCTTCCCCATTGGAGCAAAAACTACATTTACAACCTCCGAATGTGTAAAGAGGATGTAAAAGTGGCTTACACACCCAAAAATACAACCCTCACTGTTTAAAATTCTTGCTTTGAAATATTTACAGTTGTGCCACTACACTTCCGTTGACCGTAACTTCTCCATTAAAATTCCGATTTGGGCCCACTACGTGTCTATGAACTCATATCGACGAGCTCTACGCTATGGTGTCACTCAAATCCCAAAAATCGTTACGCATTGAAAAATGACTATTGGATCTTACTCCGAGGATAAAATTGTAATTTCACAATTAAATAAATTAAATATATGGTTAAAATTGGGTCGGGGTGTCACAGAGTAAAGCCATGCCACTATACTATTCTTTAAATTTTTTGTGGGTAAAACCGACTATAGAGATGCATAGTCATTTCCCATGATAACTAGCAAAGCCAAGACATTGTTCATTCTTTGTCTACTAAAAGTCCACTGCCGAATTCCGTTGGCCAGGTGTAGCGTTTCGAATGAGCCAAATGGAAGCAACCGATTGGTCCAACCAATCCATGACATGGACATTAACAAAAAAAATGTCACAACCTAGCTAGCTTGCAAAGCAAAGTGTGAATCTAAAGCCTTTTGTGGTTGTGGTTGTTCCTGGCTTATAAGCCAATAGCTGTTTGTTTAGCGGTCTCATGTATCATTGTTTCTTGATTATCTATTGTAGGTTGGAGGTAGCTCTTACTCATCAATGTACTCTGGCCGTGGTGTGGGTGGAAGCAGTTATATGGGTTCAGGCGGTTCTGGCTCGTAATACTGAGGTAATTTAATTTGTTGTGTTATTCATGTTTTATTCAGTGATGCATGCTTGAGTATGAGCCCAAGGTGCCCAAGTCATTACTATTTTTTCCTCTGGAGATTTATGTTTTTCGAAGGCACGGCTTCTCTTCTTTTGCTCTAAAAGGTCATGGGGTGAAAACAGAGCAATATGGTTACAAGTGAATTTGTCTATGGAACAGATCTGACATGAGCAAGAGGAAGCTGTAGGATGTGGACTGTATGAAGCTTTTGCATTATGATGCCTACAGTTATGGACACAGAGAATTTCCCTAAGAGCCTATGTATGTGCTGAGAATCTTTCATTGTATACAATAGGGTTGTTGTGGTTCAAGCCCTCTTGGATATCCAAAGATTGGATGCTATCTCAGGCGGTAGTTATTTCGCTGCAAGGATACTCAAGCTGTCTCGTCTAATTTATCTCCTATAAGAACTTCACCTGATGGAAAGCTTGGAGTCATGCTGCATCCTTTGTTCTTATGAATAGTAGATTATAACAAGAGGAGGAGGGATTTTCTTAATGTGACTCTTAAGGTAAACGGGAAGATTTGCCAACAAAGGGAGAGCAAAGCATCGACAAATAAAAAACGATAGTGTATGATTACAAATTTGATATGAACAAAATAGAAATGCAAACTAGCACTTCTTTCTAGTTTGAAAATGGACGAAGACTCAATTGCCACAATTAATGAATTAAAACAGATTTTACCCCAAAAGTCATTTATGATGACATCAAATAGAACTCACAACTCAGTTGAGTAAAATTAGACTCTCACTGTAACCATAGATCCTCCTTCTGGTTCTGCCATAGGTGCCAAGTTTTATTCCAGTATCCGTAACTTGCTCCAATTTAGGATCGTACAACTCTAACTTTCTGTGTTGCCAATTTTCGTATCTCATTGTGAAATGAACACCGCCATTTGCTGTAAATGCCAATGGCCATGCAATTTTTCCCTCTGCTGGAACAGGAATCGTGCGAATCATTTTGCAGGAATCCATTTCCAGAACCCATATGTCATAGTAGTAACGGTACCCACGATCCGATTCTTATCTCTGACGGAACAAAGAAAGTGATTTCTCCAACACCCTAATGGAAATTGAATCTGTCACTGAGCAATCTATCAGGAAGCATAATCCTTTGGAAAACCTCATTCTCCATATCAAAAGAAATGATGCATCTGCAATCTGGAGAAGACTCCTGTACATTCCAATACACAACTCCATTCAAGTAAGCCCATTTCTCGCTCCAGAATATGCTAAATATTTTGTCACAGGGGGAGCTGCATTGATTATTCTCCAAGAATCCAACCTAAGGCTGTAAACCTCGACACAGACGCCATGCAAAAACCTCCCAATTCTCACAACTTTGTCGTCATTTCCACCAACATCGAGGCCAAACCCAAGAGCGACAGTAGCAACGCCGCTGTAACGATACTTGCCACGAATGAGACCTTTGGGAAGTCTCTTGAACTTCCTGATTGATGGATTCCATAAATATGTATTCTCCATAGTAGTATCAGATATAAAAAGCAATCCATTGCAGGAACCATAAATGTAGAAAGAGGAACCACTCTTATGCCTAGGAAGATCTAACTCCAAACACTTGGCATATGTTTCAGGACAAAAGACTGACAAGCAATCTGGATTGTCAGAGTACATAAGTAAATAATCACGACCACTTTTCATGGCAGTCCTTTCGAGATGGGCGCTTATGAAACTTGGGCTGCTAATTAAAGCATGCCAAGACTTGCAAACACATCTGAACTTCAACAGAGATTTCACAGGCAATTTTGCAATGATGTCTAACAAGATTTCATGGGGTACGTCTTTGGGGCTAACCATGTTCAAAACTAAAATACATACAGAATTCAACTGACAACACCAGGAAACTACAAGCTGCTGTCCAGCAACCCAAACAGTCTCAAATAGAGAGAATAGAAGGACAAAGCAACAGAATTGAAGTTGGAACGACGATAATTGAGTTCTAGGGCAAAAATCCCAAAGAAACTCGAGTCTCTTTATAGCCTTTTACACTAGAGTACATCAACTTTATAGCCTCTTTATAACCTTTTCCAAAAGTGAAAGTTTTTTTATGGCTAAAAAACTAAATTTACTTATAAAAAAGCTAATAACTTAAAATAACTAGAATCCTAGCCCAACTGACCAACGGGCTCATGTACTCTTGGAAAGCCCTGTTAGATGCTTCTGCATCGTAAAGCATACCTCAGGCAAAGTGAACCCAAATTCAAAAAGATAACCTCAATCACCAAATTCACCTCCACTGACAAAACTCTGAGCCCCATTTCATGGTTTCTTGAGGCAGGTAGATGGTGATCATCAGAGAGGAAGTTTGCAGTTTGATTACACCAAGCAGATGCTTGAAAGTATTTCATAAGAGAGAGAGATTGAGAAGTCGTGATGTGTAGGAGATTCCGCCGAAGTCTGATAACAATGTATATCTGTATTTGTTTTTGGTTGGAAAATTGTATATGCATTTCAAAGATAGACAAAGTTACACTTTTCGTCCTGCATAGTCTGTTGCGCTTTCGCTCCGGTGACGGATCCAAGATTTTAGCAATATTAAGGCATGGTCGACTGTCGACTAAATTGCAGAAACTAATTTTCGCTATTATTTAGTGGGCTACATGATCCTTCGGAAAATCTCATTCTCCATGTGAGAAGAAATTATGCATCTGCAAATTAGTATAGCCGTGCATCTGCAAATTAGTATAGCTTGTTTTTCCTTTTTTTGAAAAGAAATAGTATCACCGCGCGGCTGTATGGGTGTTTACAATTTGTTTTTTAAAAGAAAATAGTATAGTAGCGCATCTATACTCTGTTTTTAGAATTTCAGACTATACTATAAATAAATAAATAAATAAAAAATATATAAAACTGTAGTATAGGCTATACTGCTGTATTAAAAAAAAAAAAAAAAAAAAAAAAAAAAAAAAAAAAAACTTATTAATAAGAAAGGATCCTCCTAGTTGCATTAGTTTGTATAAATATTAATTTGGTATAGCCATGCGGCCATACGAATAAAACACGTAGGTGCTTTTTGTTAAAATTTTGGCATAAAAAAATTATGAAAAAAGGACCCTCCAAGTTACATTAGTTTATACTTTATAGACATTAATTTGGTATAGTTGCGCAGGTGTATTATTTATATATATATAAAAAAAAAAAAAAAAAAAAAAAACGTATAGCTGACTGGCTTACTATTTCTTTTAAAAATTAGGAAAGAGTATAACCGACCGACTATACGATTTCTTTTTGAAAAAAATTGGAAAACCCGAGTTAATTAAGCAATTAGTAATTAAGATGACATAAAATATCAAGTAGTTAATTAATGAGATATTTAGTAATATACCCATTCTTAGCACTAAAACTATAAATAAACCCTACATCATTTCATTTTATAAACATACCCAAAAAGAACCCAAAAAATGACAAATGGTACTATTAAATTTAATTTTAATTATTAAATTACTTTGATACCCTATTAAGTGTTTTGGGCTTTTTTATAAAATTTTGGGTTGGGTTTGTTTTAAGAAATCAATGGCAATTTTGTAATTTAAAAGAAGTTAAAAGCCTTTTTGTTATGTTATAAATGGGCTTTGGGTGTGTTTATAAATTCCATTTCATATAGGGTTTTTTTATAATTTGGGCTCCTATATTGGGTATATTAGTGAATCTCTCTTAATTAATCAGTTAATTATTTATTTCAGTGTGAACAAGCATAAGTTTATTAAGCTAAGATCCAAGTTGTTCCAGAAAAATGGAGGGTTATTGTTAGTAGCAGAGTCAAAGGAGGACATTGAAGATTAAGGGACGCTCTGTTTCTGTGGTCTACGTTAGCCTAATCGCTTTTCAAGTCAAGTCAATGGAGTTATGGGTAGGCGTTCTTTTTAATTCATTGAATTCTGCAATTCATCATAACATGCTTGGCTTTCGATGAGACACCAGCAAACGCTAGTTTGTTTCTTGACCACTTCAAGTCGTCGATATCCATGGCTCTTGTGAGAGCAGCCGATCCACAAACCTCCTCTGTTTCCAGTACTTCTGGATATTGTCGTTATCACGTGTTCCTGAGTTTCAGAGGCCAAGACACTCGCAAGACTTTCACTGACCACCTCTACACAGCCCTTGTCAACGCCGGATTTCGCACTTTCCGAGACTACGATGAAGTCGAGAGAGGAGAAGGTATCAAGCCCGAACTGCAGAAAGCAATCAAACACTCACGAACTTCTGTCATTGTGTTCTCGAAAGACTACGCGTCATCCAGATGGTGCCTTGACGAGCTGGTGATGATCCTTGAACGCAAGAGGAAGACCTCAGATGACCATGTCGTTTTGCCTGTCTTCTACGATGTGTATCCATCCCATGTAAAGAAGCAGACAGGAAGTCTTGCAAAGGCATTTGCTAGACACCAAAAAACTGAACCGCTGCCGAAGGTGAAGGCATGGAGAGAGGCACTTGCAGAGGTTGCAGATCTGGCAGGGATGGTCTTGCAAAATCAAGCTCATGGGTAATTTCATTCCTACTACCAACTGAATTAGTTTTTTTATTTGGTTGCAACTGAATTAGTATCTCGTTATTAAATGTAGTTCAAAATTTTGATAGATTCTGTCCTTTCAAATAAAATAAAATAAAAATTATTGATAAAAACACATCCGCAAAAACACTCAAGACACCCTCAGCAATCCAGATTCTTCTAAAGGCATCCGGGACTGAGATGCAAAGACAGAGAAATACCTATTATCCAGCTGTTATTGCAAACGCAGTTTTAAGTTCTATCTAACTCTTTCAGCACTCATCTATTATATATTTGTACCTTCTAACTTTCTGAACTTATTTCCATGGTATTTTATAACTTAAGTATATGAAATCATGCATGCATGTTTGAATTCTCTTTCATTTTTATTGCAATTTTTTAGGTACGAGTCAAAGTTCATCAAGAAAATAGTTAAAGTGATTGGAGACAAACTAAGTCGCACACCATTGAGTGTTGCTCCCAACTTGGTTGGAATGCATTCTCGAGTCGAAAGAATTAATTTCTGGTTACAACGGAGGTCAACTGATGTTGGCATACTTGTAATCTATGGGATGAGTGGAATAGGGAAAACAACCATCGCAAAGACTGTTTACAATTCAAACTTTAGAATATTTGAAGGAAGCAGCTTCCTTGAAAATATCAAAGAAGTTTCACAGCAACCCAATGGCTTAGTTCAAATACAAACACAACTTCTTTCTGATATTTTGAATGGAAGAAAAATGAAAATAAGCAATGTTAGTGAGGGATTAATTAAGATTGAAGATGCAATAAGCTCTAAAAGGGTTCTTCTTGTTCTCGATGATGTGGATCATCTGGACCAATTAGATGCAGTACTTCAAGTGAAAGATCGATTTTATCCAGGTAGTAAAATCATCATAACAACTAGGCGTGCAAGATTGTTAAAGGCTCATCAAATTACTGAGGTGTATGCAGTTGGAACTTTGACTCAAAAAGAATCATTGGAGCTCTTCAGTTGGCACGCTTTTGGCCAAGACCATCCTGTTGAAGATTACATAGAATATTCAGAGAAGCTAGTCGATCATTGCGGAGGACTTCCATTAGCTCTCAAAGTTTTAGGTTCTTCTTTGTTGGGGGAAAGTGTATGTCTATGGAAAAGTGCATTGGAGAAGTTAGAAGTTATTCCAAATGGTGAAATAATAAATAAACTAAGAGTAAGCTATGACTCTTTGCAAGATGACCATGACCAAAAATTATTCCTCCACATTGCTTGTTTCTTTATCGGAATGGACAAAGATTACATTGCTAAAATACTAGATGGATGTGATTTCTATACAATTGTTGGAATTCAAAATCTCATCGATAGATGTTTGGTGATTATTGATCGATGGGACAAGGTGCGGATGCACGACCTGATTCGTGGAATGGGAAGAGAAATTGTTCGCCTAGAATCAAAGGAGCCCTGGAAGCGTAGTAGAGTATGGCATCATAAGGACTCTTTCAAAATCTTGAAGGAAAAGAATGTAAGAAATATGCGTTATTTTGTACACATTTTTGTTTTTCCTCTTCTAAAAATTTTCCAAATGTTTTTTCCTTTTCTTTTGTAGGGTACGGAAACAATTGAAGGTCTTGTCCTGGACATGCACATGTGCCCTACTATAAACTCAAATGAGAAATTCTTGGAAACCAATGCATTTTCACGGATGCAGGAACTAAAACTACTCCATCTTAGTCATGTAAAACTCCGCGGATGTTACGCAAAATTTTGTAGTGGACTAAGATGGTTGTGTTGGCTTGAATTTCCTTTAGATTCTATACCCGTCGATTTTCCTTTGGGAAGCATTATTGTTCTTGAAATGCAATACAGCGGTCTGAGACAAGTATTCAAGGGAACAAAAGTATGTCACTCTCTACCCTTTTCAATTTCTTTTTCATTTTCATTAGGCTTTTAGTTTGATAAGAAATTATATATTTGTAAAAATTAACTCCCCACATTGTTTTCTTCTGTACATTTTTTCCTCTACAGTATCTTCCGTCCTTGAAGACCCTTGATCTCAGCCATTCTCATTCCCTTACAGAAACCATTGAATTCTCATATTGCCCAAATCTAGAGAAATTGGTTCTAGTAGACTGCACGAGCCTGATTTATGTCCATGGATCCATTGGAAACCTAGAGAGACTTATTTACTTGAATATGAAAGATTGCAAAAAGATTAGGTTGCTTCCCAAGAACATTTGTATGCTAAAATCACTTGAAACATTTATTATATCTGGTTGCTCAAATCTAAAGGAGTTATCAATTGAGATGTTGAGGAACATGGACTCGTTA